GACTATCTTCTTTGGTGAATTGTCTATTCATGTCTTCTGTCCATTTATAAATTGGTTGTTTGTCTGTTCAACGTTGAGATGTTGGGTTTTTTTTTTTTTTTTCTTAATAAATTTTAGAGATAAGTTCCTTGTCACATATATCATTGTTGAATATTTTTTCCCAGTCTGTAGGTTCTCTTTCACTCTTTCAGAGAAGACTTAAAAAATTAAAATTTAAAATTAAGACAAAATTAATGTTGAAAAGGTCGCAACCATCCAGTTGATCTTCTGTTGTTTGTGTATTTTGGCTTCTCTTGATAGTCTATTTATACCATAAATTCAGGTCCTTAAGTTTGGCCTGGTTTTTTCCCAGATGGGCTTTGTGTCCACATTTTTATATGGACACACATAGTCATGTCTCTGGAGTAAACCTACAGGGGCAGAATTGCTGGGCTGTGTAGGAAATGTGCATGACCGATCCCTTTCCTCAGCCATCACTAAGGTACTTGGTTCCTGGGGAGAAGTCAGGGCCATGTTGGGTGAGGACCTCACTTTCTCAGGTGTGCAACACTCTCCAGCCCAGCGACCCACACCCCCACACCACGACCTTCATCCCAAGCTCTCCTGAAGACTACTCCGCCATCATACTGCCCACGATGAGGTGAGGGTCACACAGGAGAAGCTAAACCCTCTAAAGCAGTGGGTGGACATGTTGAACGTTTCTGGCCTGGCTGTTTGCAAGGGAGCTCTGGTGGCGTAGTGTCTCAGGCATCTGACTGCTAACCAGAAGGCTGGGGGTTCAAACCCACCAGCCACTCCTTGGAAGGAAAGACTGGGCAATCTACTTCCGCAGTGATACTGCCTCGGAAACCCAAGGAGGGGTCGCTATGAGTCGGATCCGACTTGACGGCAGTGAGTTAGGTTAGGTTAGTTGGCCAAGGTCAACATCGGGAAACTTATCTGCAGAATCAGGGCCGGTGACCCTGTCCCAGACGCCATCACTGTCCCGGGGGACCTGCCTCCTGCACTGCTGCCCAGCTGAGGAGAAGAAAAGAGAAGCCAAGAGAGAAGAATCTGAGGAGGCCCAGGGCAACAGGGCCTGGTGTGGATGCAGGGCTCCTGGGAGGAAACCCCGACTTCTCCAACATTCCAACATCTGACAGACCGGCCCGCATCCTCAGCAGACTAACCGAGGCCTGGAATGTTGGACCCCCCCACCTTATCCCTCAGTGTGGTTCCCTGATATCCCCCTGGGGGATTTGTCTTACTCCCACCCCCAAAGTTCAGATAGTTTTGGTCACACCCTGGACCCAAGGAGCACTGCTGACCACACTGTTTCTGCAGAAGCTTTATTTATTAGCAAATTCAGATTTGGAGTCACGATGCAGTCACTTCAGTTGAATCAGCCTGCTCCTGAGAAAGTGGCAGTGGTACTTGGAGAGGGCCTTTTGGCCTCACAAGTGGAAATCTCCATTTGAAACCAATACCGCAGATGCCCGACTCTCCGCGTAATTGCCTAACGTGCCCATGAGCATCTGCTTGTTCTTGTCATGGTAGGTCTCAAAGCTCGTGCTGCTTCTCCTTCCAAATATGCACTTTTGTCCTCTGTCCATGTGTAGCATCAGAGTCCATAGGAATTTCCTGGCATCCACCTACACCACGTAAATGTGCTCCCCGGGCTGCAAGATTAAGTCCTCCTACTCCCCACCGAAGGTGCCATATTTCCTGCTCCAATAGGGTCCAACTTTCACCTGGACACTGGGAGAGAGATGACACTCCAACGCCCAGCCCAGGGTGGCCAGCACCCTTGGATCCTCTACCAGTGACCCTCCTGGAGCCCACCCGTGGGGCTGCTGTTCCTGTCCTCCCTCTCACCTGGCTCCTCCCCCTCCACCAGCTCTGCCCACCTCACTCTCTGTCTCCCTTGGGCTTGGGACATGCCACACACTCCCTCCTTGGGTTCCTAGGCTCCTCATAAGTGCAGAGCAAAACTCTGCCCCAGGCCAAGAGCAGAGACATCCCCCAACAGTAGGAGAACTGCCCTTGACACACATCTGGTGGTGCACTCAGTGGTCCATTCCGACCCTCGCATCCTTTCCTGTTTGGCCCTAACCTGGACAGACTATCACCTGATTCCCCATCATGTGTTCTGGAAGTGAGAGATCATTTTTGGTTGAGTTGAGTTTGGGTCAAAAGGAGAAGATGGGGAGAAGCCTCCACCTAACCTTCTTGAAAGGGGACCTGGTGGCACAGTGGTTCAACATCTGCTGCTAACCAAAAGATCAGTGGTTCAAACCCACCAGGTACTCTGTGGGGGAAAGATGAGGCTGTCTGCTTCCGTGAAGATTACAGCCTTGGAAACCCTAAGGGGCAGTTCTCCTCTCTCCTGTAAGGTGGTGTGGTAGCTATGTTTGTATGTCAACTTGGCTGGGCCTGGTTGAGTGGCTGGGCAGCTGTTGGTATTTATTCCCCATCATGAGACTGGCAATCAACTCCATGGTGGGATCTACCACAACCAGCTGAGTAGCTGCCTTTGGGATGTGGTCTGCTTCCTGTATTTAAGGAGAAGCCTTGGGAATGGTCTCAAGCCTATGGCACGCTTGGACCCTGCACGTAGCCATGTCATTGCTCAGCAGCCTGCCATGCTCTGCCGACCTTGGGACTTACGGTGGACTTGAGTTAATGGCCTGCCATGTCGTTTGGTAACATCGGGACTGTGCCTTTTTACTTGTCAACCTTGGGGCTTCTCAGCCTCAGCAGCCAGCTGCTGTCTGAATGAAGAAAC